AAAAAAAAAAAAAAAAAGACAAAGTACATGTATTCCCAAGACATCACTGGCCAGGCCCCGGGGAGCATCAGGAGAAGGGCAGCACCTACTCTGGAGGCCACAGGCAAAGGGAAGCAGTCATAAAGGCTCCCCGCTGTCCAGCTGGGATCTTGTATGTAGACTGTGATGTCTGCATTTTGGTTACCTGTCTTTTGCCTGCTAAATGAACAGCTGAATGCTCAGATTCTCTTCTTGCGTATAAAATCATCAGCACCACAATCTGTGTTACCCTTCCAAGCCAAGGGCGCCAGCTCAAATAATTTGACGCACCTGGACACAATCCTCCCAGACCCCGGCCCAGCCTAGAGCTTCCTTACAAGAAAACACTGTCCTACTTCTGGGCAGCTCAGGCTCTAGTCACAGGGGTAGGAGAACTCTAGGCCAATCTAGGAGGTAGTCAATTTCAGGTCATTTCCATGGAAATACAACTTATTAAATATGAAGCACTGTTTTGTTTCTTTTGTTTTTGTTTTTTGAGACAGGTTCTCACTATGTAGTTGGACTGACCTGGAACTCACTATGTAGCCCAGGCTGGTCTCAACTCATGGTGATCCTCCCGCCTCAGCCTCCCCAAGTGCTGGGATTACAGGCGTGCGCCACCACGCCCGGCAGAAACACTGTTTTTGATGCAGAATAAATAAGAAATATAGAGGTTCCAGGGATTTAGCTCAGTGGTTCTGAGAAAAGAGATAAGAAGAATCACAATTTTAAAAATGTACTTTTGGGCTGGGGATTTAGTGGTTCTGCTGCCTGCCTCACAAGAGCAAGGACCTGAGTTTCATCCCTGGTACAAAAAAAAAAAAACAAAAAAAAAACAAAAAAACAAAAAAACCCAAAAAGACTTTAAAGAAAAAAGTCACTTTAGAATACAGTTACCTGACTTATCCACATCTGTGCTCCATATCTTTCTTTACTCCCTAGGGTTGTTTATGCTGCCTAAACTTGTTTTGTTTGTTTGTTTTTTCTTCTTCCAGGCCCATTACACTCAAATCCCCTAAAGCTACTGAAAACCTGGCTGGAGGTGGTGGCGCACTTGGAATAATGCTGCAATTACAGATGTGCATGCCCAGCCAAGTGTGTACTCCTTTAATTTTGCCTAATAAACCTTTCTGTGCCTCTCACTAAGGTGTCCTGAAAATTCCTTTTCTCTAGCCAGAGTCAAGAACCCACTAGCAGGCTGCATTAAGGTCTCCCATCTCCTCCTTGGGGTAACTACTAACCTGACTGCTTTTAAAAATCAAAGCTTCTTGGGCCAGGGATTTAGGGTGGTTCTGCCTCGAAAGTACAAGGTCCGAAGTTCAATCCCCATACCAAAAACAAAACAACTCAAAGTTTCTTATAAAGAAGAAACAGATAATGCAAAAATTTCTTTTCAATGAATTAAGATAAACCAACAGTATAAATATAACACATCAGCATATATTAAAATAATGCTTTTCAAACAAATACACATACACCCAACATGGTGTTTCTTTTCTTTTCGTTTTTGATACAGGGATGGAATTCTGGACCTTGCACTTGTGAGGCAGGCAGATGAACAAGCGACCTAAAGCCCTGGCCCTATGGGTTTCCATAAGAGAAACC